ATAAACATGTTAGTTTCAGCACATCAGTGGTTGCCTGGCAACAGGCCAAGGGAAGGATGGCTCACAAAGAGCCTAAGGAAACTTTAGTATTAATGGAAGTATCTGACATTTTGCCTAGGTTGGGGGTTACAAGGTAATACTTGTATATCAATGAACTCTCCACTTAAAAGATGTGGTTTACTGTAAGTCTACCTCAGCAAAGTGTTTAAAGTAGAGCTTCAAAGCTTCAACACAAGAGGTAATTCTAGTTCCAACTTTAAAACTGCTCCCTGTGTTGGACTTGTTTCAGGAAGATCATTCATGCCCCTTATTAATAAAAGCTAGTAAGCAGAACTACCTCCTGTCATATCACTTACCTCACTGCTCCTTGGAGCCAAACAGACATAGGGATGCCAGGGACTTGGGACTCAGTCCCGTAGCTTAGCTGTGTCACCCTTGTTAACCCCTCTAGGCCTGATTCCTCATCTCTAGGGACATTAACATACCCCTTGGATTGTTGTGTTCCTTAGAGAAATTAATGAATGCATGTGACAGACACACTTAGAAGACTTTCTAATTATTCCTCTACTTTGCATCTTTGGTAAAATGTTTCCAGTAGCCTTTCCCTAGTTTTTTTTTCTTAAGGTTTTCTCCATACATGTTAGTATCATCTGTGAATCCTGATAGTATCCTTTCTTTCCACCCTGTAAACCTTCCCCATCACCCCCTTATCAGAAGGCACTGGCAAGGATCTGGATAATAGCCATGAGACTGGATTTCTTTTGGACTCTGTGAACACTAATCTACATTTAGGGAAGACCAAGCAGAGCCCAGTTTCACCCTGCCCCTGCCGGGTTAGCAGACAGAGAACTGATTCTGTTCTCTGCTGAAGCATGGTCTTAACTCCTTCTCCCTGAACGTCACACCCCATTTACAGGGATAATTGTGCTGGATGTGAAGGCCCATACCTGTCAGCATTATGTATACTCTTAGCTTTCATGAGTTACTAAACTTCTCCTTGTAGGAAATGAGACTGGCATCTAACTTGGCATCTGACATGTTCTAGTTATTTTAGATTAATCACATAAAAAAAACTGGACTATTTCTAACAACAGCGTAATCAATAATTGGGAGTACTAGTTACAAGTTTACACTTGATCTTGACCAGAAGGCTGAGAAGCCACACTAGTTAAAACTTTAATATCAAATTCATGTTTTTGTTTTTAAATGTCCGTAACTATATGTGCTCTTCAGCTACCTGGCTCAGGGATTGTGCCTGGGTAGTTTGAACAGGATTCATGGAGACCTCCTATATTAGAAAGCCATTAATGCAAGCCACTCCCTCTAGTTAGCGAATGTAAATAGGTCAGCAGGGGGAGTATCCATACACCCCAAGATCCATGTGATTAACTACAGAACCAATCCTTAACGGTCTTCAAATGCCTACTTGGTATTTTTACATATTGACACCTAGTAAAGGCAGATCTGAAATTAATAAAAACCATTCGTCTCTCTTCCTCCCCATTCTTGCTGGCTGCCAACATATGCTCTGATGTGCCCACAGCAAACACATCATAAGTAGAGCTTCTATTTACATGAAACAGCAAACCAGTTATCTCAGAAGTCTAGTTCTTTTTAAAAACTTGAATCCACATTTACTATGTGTCCTTCTCCCCATTTAATTTACCCTATATGTTACTGAAATCTTTATAGTGTTAACTTAATTGGGTCATTTGACTTGAATCTCTGCTTTCATATCATGGAAAACAGGGAAAATATTTTTAAGCAGTTGCTATATAAATGGGTTAAAGATTGAGCTGACTCAACTTTTTTCCTTCCAGAGATAGAAAATGTTTATTTTTCTATGATCATTCTGACATGATTACTTGAAGCAATTGTTTACCGTAGGAACTGTTAAAACTGTTCCTTTACTGAATTAATTACTGTGCCCTGGAAAAGTCCTATGACACCATGATCATAAACTAAGTATGTGTATTTCTTTTCACATCAGCCTGGTCACACATTACTGTGGCATTTTTGATTGAGTTCCTCAGTTTCATTTCTATAACCTTATACCTTCTATATGTTCCCTGCTTACCATTTTTTTAGTCTTTCCTGATCCTAACATTTTCTCATCATCAAGCTCCTAAGGTGTTCCTCATACAGGTGCTATCGCCACAAGTGAGAAGGGATTAATAGACACACTTCAAATTTATCTTAATGGTCCCAACAGCATTTTCAAGGCGATACTTGAATTGTACTGGAGGTATGACATTTTTGAAAGAATTCCCTCCAAAATAACTTAGGGAAAAAAAAAAAAAAGATACTGGTTAAGTGGCAAGCAACATTTTTTTCCCCCTGCTTTGCTTATCCATGATCATAAATGGCAATCATTTAAAGCTTCCTGTAACCAAGAGTCCCGAAAGTGTTTGGAAAAGTGTAACATCAAATATTTACCATTTAGTAAGTGGAGTTAATCAACTATTTGTGAAATGTATTTACCTGAAATAAAGTAGGAGGTAATTTTTAAGGCTAAAAAAAATAATTTTCAAATCCTAATGACTAGCTGCAAACCTACCTGGAAAAAAAATGATTTCTGTACTCTGTGAATGCTGTCTGATTACACTTCAATGTTTTGTATGTTCCATGTATATAGCCCTGCCAGGGAATATCAAAACTGTCAATCAGTTTACAATTTTAAAGCAGTAATGGACCTCATGGTTTGGTTAGAAGAACATTTTTCAACCTTGCTACTACTAACATTTTGGGTAGGATAATTCTCCATGTGTGTATGTTTGAGGGGCTGTTGTATGAATTTTGTTAGTGGCACCTCTTGTAAATACAACTAAACAGATGGGGGTAGCACCTGTGCTAAGTTCTTTTCTGTTCAGTGGCTACAACGAAAAATATTTCCAGACGGCTGCCAAAAATCCTTTAGGGAACAAAATCGTCCTTTGTTGAGAACCCCTGGCCTACTCCAATTCCGACGACATAAGTCAAAAGCCCAGAAACTTTGGGGCTTATAGGATCATTTAGCTGGTCAAAATACTAGTACTATAGTCTATTATTATATTCTCACTTTCTATTCTGAAATGATATACAGAAAAGTTAATGCTAGGATTTCTTTTAGTCTTTTGTTCATAATGAAACTCATTAAAAAAAAAATTAGGATCTAACAAGAAGTTGTTTTTTCCTTAGGCAATTAAGTTTCCATGAGAGCCAAACAGAACGTGTAGTCTTGACACCTATAAAATGCTCATTCTTACTTGTTGGTGGCAAGGTTTGATAGAAATCAACTTTATTCCACCTTATAACAGTACTAACCTAGATTTACTGACTGTAAGACCTCAAATATAGTCTTCTGAGGCTGTCTTAATGATTTATTTGCAATCAGTTTCTAATTTCCATTTTTAGTGAATGCTTTCAAAAATGTTTTAAGAAATGTGTTTCACCCATGTGCCATTTCTCCAAAGTGCAACGTGTAAAACATGATGAAACAGGCCACAGAGCATCATGAGAAAGGATCCAAAGGCAATTATTTTTATGGGGCTATATTTACAGGTGTTCCTCCTGGGGAAAAGCAATCTGAAGTATTTTGCAATGTTCTGGCTTCCACTTTCACTCTGGAGCAAAAACAGCATAAAGCAACACAGCAAATACTAAACACTATTAAGCTGAACTGGGTGTCATGGAGATATGCAGGGCAATCGAAGCACTGCTGTCTAAAACAATTTCCCAAGTGCTTTAAAGCTTCAGCTTAACAGTTTGCAACAGGTTTTTCATTTGCAGGAACTCAAAAGTGTTGAGATGGTCAAGAAATAAAACTTTGTCCTCTCTGTAAATCTGCCTTTCCAAAAAAAAAAAAAATTTATATGTGTGTGTTTGGAAAATATATTGAGAAGTGTTAAAATTTCTCCAAACCCTTGAGCAGGGATTCGGGACCAAAATTTATCATAACCTCCTTTTGCATTCCTGTTTGGAAAAAAAAAAAATACGGTCTGCTGACAGCCCCGGCTTCCCTTTAGAAAGGGTACACAGCTGTGGCACCCTTCTCTGTCCCTCTGCCGTGTGTGTGTGTGTGTGTGTGTGTGTGTGTGTGTGTGTCCATCCCAAGGAGCGCACCAGCCTTCCTCTGCAGTGTCATCAGGAAGGGCAGACCCAGAGGAGCCCAGTCAGCAGGCACAGCTGGCCTACTTGCGCTTCTAATGACAAATCCTTTGTCATTTCCACCTCCCTCCCTCCACCTCCTAATCCTCTTTTTTCCCACAGTGCAGCCAAATCGCAGGGGAGCCCAGCTCTACCCCCCAAGTCCCCCCAAGAATAAAATGTTTGCAGCGCTCTAACTCATGTTTACCTTTACACTGGCAGACACGTCTTCAAGCCCGGGCCACTATCAAGATGGGCTTTGAACTCCTAGAAACTTGGTTTTTTTTGGGGGGTGGGGGTGGGGATGGGGGGGCTGTTCTCACAGAAAAGAGCCAGACCTTTCAAGACCTCCTCTCTTCCTCCCACCTCTTCCCACCAGGGTCCCTGCAACTTTGAAGACGCCACTTGGCTGCCACCACTCCTAAGAATCCTAGGTTGACGTCTCGGCTTTCCAGGATGCTACGTTTTCCAAACGCAGCTTTACTCCTGTCCACACCTCACTTTTTTTTTTTTCCTCTGTTCCCGCGATCTTGGAATTTGATCGTTCTCGTCATCCCGCCCTTCCCCGTTCCCTGCACTCCAGCTCCACAGACGCCTGCCGGGTCTCCTCTTCCCACTCTGACCTCGGCTTCCTCGGCTCGCCCTGGCGTCCCCCGGCCCCTCCACACTCCGGCTGGGGGCCCGGGGAACCTGACGCCCTCTCCGGGGCGGCGGGTACTGAGGGGCGCCCAGGGACTCCGGACGCGCCCAGGGCGGCCATTTCGCACACTCGGGGCGCCGCGCCCAGCGTGCGGATCGCGCAGGCCCTTCTCCTGGGCCGCGGGAGTGGAGGGGCTCAAGGCCGGGCTGCCCCCGCCGCCGGGGCGGGAACTCACCTTCTCTGAGGAAGGGGCGGGCGTCTATAACTACTGTCCCCCTCCCCGCCAACGCCGCCGGGCGGATAGGCCGCGGTGGAGGTGGCGGAGAGGCAGGAACAACCGCTGCCGCCGCCGCCGCCTCCGCCGCCGAATAGGCGGGGTGGGAGGAGGAGGAGGAGGAGGAGGAGGCGGAGACCCGACTTCCTGAGGGGAAGTCGCCGCCACCCCTGGCGCATGACTGGACGGCGCCGACGCCATGACGGCGAGGAGCGCTGGTGCGCTTGCGCAGAGATCACCCCTCCCACGAAAGCGCCGTCAGTCCCTCCGCCCTGTTTGCCCTGCCCTCGGCGTCCGCCATTTCCGGGCACTGCTCTAATTGAGCTGGTCGTTCTCAGCCGATCCTGCCGTCCTGAGGTGAAGGCGATACGCAGAGGAGCTACTTACGCGCTTTGGGAAAGCGGGTCTGAAACTAGCCAGGGCGAAAACCTGGAAATCTACGGATTCCACACCCAGAGTTTGTCAGACGTCCATGATCTCTTTCGTCTACTTCCTCGTAGTCTTTAATTGTAAAAGTAGATCAGGCCGGTGTAGGCCTGGTCCTTGGTCCTGAGATAAGGTCACAGCTGATAGGCAAATGACCTTTCACCCTCTTCCCTCTTTCAGATTATGCAAATACGAGCAGGTGTCACAAAGTTCTTGGGGGGGAAAAATTAAAAGATAAGACACATTTCGATAGTTTTAAAAACTGCCTTGAATACATATTATGATAATATCCAACATAGATAGCCATTAAAATGGTAGTAATAACCCACTTGAAAAGGTGCTTTAACAGCAGTAAGTCAAGGACGACTTCAAACATTTCAAACTGTGTTGTGTTTGTGTAGCTTTTAAATGTATGTGAAATCCTAGGGCATTAAAGAGAAACAAAGCAGCGGTGCTCCTCAGCTGCCCCATAACTCTGCCAGTTTTAGTTGTGCGTGTGGTGCTGTGGCTTCCCTTTCAGATCTCAGCCCTGTTGCTGTGTCTTTGGGTCTGAAATGGTTGTTTTCAGCTCTGACTCTTCACTGGGTTCCTCTACCTCCTTTTCTATTGAAGGCATTTGAAGGACAGAGTTGCAGAGAGAAGGTTCTTCCATTCAGTGGGTTATTTTCTGGAAGGCAGCCCAAAGAGGGCTAAGTCAGGCAAAAGCCATAAGCTAGGAGCCAGGAGCTCTTCCAGTACGTGCCGGAGCCCAAGCACTCTTCTGCCTTCCCAGGCGCCTTAGCAGGGAGGTGAATCAGAAGTGGAACAGCCAGGACTCATGCTGGTTCCCATATGAGATGCTGGCTGTGTGGGTGGCTTTCCGAGCTATGCCATAACATATGCCTGTTCCATCTCATTTTCTGAAGGCTACTCTGGTACCTCAGGCTGCCTTGGATATGGTTTGTTCTATGCCTACTCGCTCTCTAGCCATCTTTGCTTTCTCTTCTGTAATCCATGTAAGTGATCAGTATCTTGAAGACAAGGCGTAAATGTTATTCCTCTTTGCATCTGGAATACAGAGCACATCTGCTAATAAATGCAGGTGGACTGCATACATTTAGAAATTTGTGGGGGAGAGGTGCAGAATGTGTGGCTAAGGATTTTTGGAACCAGAGGGAGAAAGATAAAGGTGAGTACATTATTTGGTAAAAATGCCAGGACAGGGGGAATGTGAAGGATTGTCAGTGATGTGATTATGTAGAATGTGGTGCTCAATCCTGGGATATGGCTGGTGGAAGTACACAGTACCTTTTCTTTGTGTCTCTTAGGGAACTTATGAATCAGCCGGTGAGTGCCCATGAGCCCCCCTCATCTGTTCAGTATTGCCAAGTATTAAGCTATTTCTAGCTCACGCAGGGGCTGGTAAACAAGTAAATATCCAGCTGTGTGTATCATGTGAGCTCTGTTGTCGATGTTCAGGTCAACTGCTGGAGTGTGAAAGTAGTCATATGCAAATGAGTGTGGCTGTTTGCTAACCAAATTTTGTGTATGGTCACTGAAATTTGAGTTTCATGTCACGTTCACATGTCACAAAATAGTGCTTTGGTTTCCCCACACTCCAACCGTTCGGGAGTGGGGTGGGGGTAGGAACAATTGTTACTACCCATGCCTATTAGAGTTTTATCAATCCCTGTTCCAAATGAAGTTTAGCACCAGGCAGGAAGGAAGTTGGATCGGGTGATTGAGGGCCTATGTTTGGATTAAAGTCTTGCAGCTCCCTTGCTTCGCCACTAGATGGTGTTCCCTGCAGGTACATGGCTCAGCCATCAGCTATTTCAGTATGTCTTGGGGGTTCCCCAGGGTACTGAAAACTAGTGACTGTGGTATTCATAAAGGCACACAAACTATTCCAAGATTTTAAAACTTTATTATAAACCATATGGGTTTACCTTATGTTTCTGTCTTCACACTTAATTTGTGTGTTTTCTCTGATTTCTGGCATATCCAGCCAATGCCTCTGAGGTGATCAGCTCAAATGCTCAAGACAATAATGTGAATGCAGGCTAGGATTAAAGATTAGGGGGCTGCAATGTTACATCAGATGACAGAGTATACTCAAGATGCAAGTTAAAAAGTAGGCCCCTCCTTAAAGTAAGAGGATACTTGAAGCCCATGTCTAGTCTTGAGACATTACCCTGGTAGTTCTCTCAAAACAGCGTCTACTGCTAGTCTTATGTGATTAAGGTTCTGGCATAATATTTGCTTAGCATATCCTGTTCCAATCGCCTTGTATGGTGTTTAGGATGTGGGAGTTTTAGCCATTGTAGTGTTTTGGGGGATATGTTTATGCATGAGGCTATGTGTGTGTGTGTGTCTGTGTGTGTGTGTTCAGCTGATATAGAAGCAGAAAGATCTGGATGTCCTGTTCCACAGAGGTTATTTTTGTCATGCCCATGTCTGGAATCTCACAGTTCAGTCTGAAGCAGGGACCCTTTGGCTTAGGTTTTATTTTTCTCCATTTCTCAGCACCCTACTTTACTCGGACACAAAAGAAAGACATTGGATGCCTACTAAAATCACTGGCAATATAGTGAGATATCTATCTTCTTGGGAATGAAAAGGGCTCATCTATAAAGACATGATTGTGAATTAACGGAAGAAGAATTTTGGTTTTCACAATGATTTTGGGGATGTTAAAGGTCTAGTGTTAGAGGGATCAAGTCCACTAGAAAAAATCTGGCTGCTAGCAGTGGTGGGGGTGAGGAAGGAGGAAGCTGGGAGTGGTGAGAATTCCTTGCAAGGGCAGGTAGGCAAAAACATTTGCCTCAGATTCGTGTTGAGGTGAAGCATCGTCTAGCTCACTGCCCTCTCCCTCATCACCAGTCTGGGAAACAATGCCAATATCTTCTGTTTCACTGATCCTGGATGTGGATGCTAGACTAGCAAGCAACGAGCAGCTCAATGCAATGAGGAATCACTGGTCATTCTGCAGCTTTGGCAAATGAGAAACCAGCTTATAATTATCTGAGTCTGTGTTTTGTAGGTAACTATACAGAAGTTTTTGTAAACTTTTAACATACACTGAATTTTTCCAGGAACCCTATTTATTGTTAGCCAAGGGAATTTTATATGACACTATTAGTCCTTTATCATTACAGAAAATCATGTCACAGATAAAAGTGCTGAGTACGGTATAGGCATCTCCCACATCAACCTGCATTTTTGTCTCTCTGTTGGTTATTTTACTTTGGGAGACTAATATGAGCAAAGAACTAACAGAAATTGGGGCTGGAGCTGTGACACAATGAGTTGAGCAGTCATCAGCGACATTAGCATCCCATGTGGGTGTCGGTTCAAGTCTTGGTACTTCTGACTCAGCTCCCTGCTAATGTGCTTAAGAAAGCAACAGAAGATGGCTCAAGTGCTTGGGCATGTCCCACCCACCTAGCAGACCTGGAAAAGGCTATTGGCTCCTGGCTTTGGCCTCAGCTATTATAGTGATTTGGGGAGTGAAACTACAGATGGAAGATCTCTTTTCTCTCTGTTAGCTCTAACTCTCAGATAAATAAATGCCTTTCTAAAAAAAAAAAAAAAAGAAAGAAAGAAAGAAAAGAAGCTACTGTCATTTAGTGAGTGTTCCATGAAGTACCAAGAACTGCACTATGACCTTTATACGTGTTACCTCACTTAACACTTGCAGCAATCTAGTGACATAGAAATGATCACCTGCTGATTACCAGGGTGGTAATGGGAGCCTCGGAGCTCAGACTGAGACCTATAGCACTCAAAAACCAGCACTGATGATCTGCCACAGTCACAGAGGTCCAGGACACGAGCCCCAATACAGAGATGTGGCTTTCTGCTGCTATAGGAGGGTACCTGCGTCTAAGTGACTTACAATGAACAACAACTTACAGATTCATGATGAGGGAAGCTGGGAAGTCCTGAATCAAAGAACTGTGTCTGGTGACAGCCTGCTTGCTGCATCATAACATGGCAAAAGCATCAGATGGGCAATAGAGACAGCAGGAAAGGAACCCAAAGCCACTTTTTAAAATATTTATTTATTTTTATTGGAAAGGCGGATATTCAGAGAGGAGGAGAGACAGAGGGGAAGATCTTCCATCTGATGGTTCACTCCTCAAGAGGCTGCAATGGCTGGAGCTGAGCCAATCCGAAGCCAAGAGCCAGGAGCTTTCTCTGGGTCTCCCACACAGGTGCAGGGTCCCAAGGTTTTGTGCCATCCTGGACTGCTTTCCCAGGCCACAAGCAGGGAGCTGGATGGGAAGAGGGGCTGCCGGGATTAGAATCAGAGCCCATATGGGATCCTGGCGCATTCAAGGCAAGGACCTTAACTGCTATGCTATCGCGTCAAGCCCCAAAGTCACCTTTTGATCAGGAGCCCTTTTCTGAGATAATGAACCCACTTTTGTAATAACAGCATCAGGGCAGGGCCTTTATGACCTAGTCAATTTTTTTTATTTGGACACCCACTTTTAAAAGAAAATTATTATTTTATGATACAGTTCTGTAGGCTCTGGAATTTCCCGCCCCCTCCCCAAGTCCTCACGCCCTGCTACTGTTTTCCCCTATAGTATTACAATGAGTAGTCCTTCATGAACAGATGTAAGCCCATCATTCTGCTATCGACATGATCTAACCAACTTTTTAAAAAATTCTTACACTTTTTTCTTTTTCCTTTCCCTTCCTTTCTCCT